TAACCGCCTGTTTGTTTTCTGCTCCCTTTCGTGGTGGGACTTGAAAAAAAAACTACCACTTGCTGAAGCCACTAGCATGGCCTATAGAAAGTTTTGGCGATATTAGAGGGTCGATCTGCCACGCCATCTCACGGGTGGTGCTGGCAGCAATAACAATGCCCAACTAGCGCAACATGAGCGGCTGCGGGAAAAAAATTGTCTGTTCTACGATTTGCTGGTAGCGAAGCTGGAATGACATTTTAAGTAGCGACCAATAGTAAACTGCATATAGTAGACTTATCGTTGCCCCTGCCACTATTCGCTGTGCGAGCATTGCATGGCCATTGTTTGGCCGCATTGCTGCAAAAAAGAAGCAGAAAAGAGGAAGACATTGCTGATTTTTTTTTATGAGAACCTATTTCTATTTCATTGCCCGCATTAGAGCGACTGTGTGGAGGATCCATAATTTACTGCCGCCATCTTTTTAGACTCGTCCTTATGCGATCATTTGTTTGTAACTTATTATAGTACACACGTCGTGCACAGGAGATGTCTAAGTTTGTCTATGTGTGTATACAACCGCTTTCATTCAAAGTAAACAGGGTTATTTGAAGTTGATCACTAACTTTCTTCTACGAGCTGCCATGTCTCGAGACGACATGTATGCTATTTTCGTCAAATTTGCCTTAAAAGCAAGTACTATGATGTGTGATTGTGCGAGCTCGTTTTTAAAAAATCAAATATGCTACAGTAATATCGATGATAATTAATATCTGTGAATAATCATATATTGATCATCTCTTGTTTTATATACGTATACATGTATATGTATCTGTTTGTTTCTTGTAGATTCTACCAAGATCCAGAATGCCTCCGCATTAATAAAAATAGAAAAAAATTAGCAAACGGATTAAAGGCAGCCACATGATTTTGTTAGATTTTTATTTGATTTGACCCATTTTTGTATGGTCATATCTGTCCAGTACCAGCCTAGAACAACTAATAGCATATACATTTCACGGGCCAATTGACCGAAGTGACCTGGTCCTAACGACAAGTTCCCTAATTTTCTTAACGTGTGTTTATAGGACTAGAAACTAAAAAGCTTGAAAGCAGATTTAATCATATTTGAGAAAATGTAAAAAATAAAGCACTGGAATAATTTAGGAACGTTATCAAAGAATAGCGCAAGTATCTACCTTTATTCCAACTTACAGCAAATGGAAGAAGTCATTTAGTTGTGGCGAAAAACAAACGATACAACGTCTATGCCTTTTTGAAGTTTTCTACTTATTTAGCTCCCCGAAAATTGTCTTCTAATTAATAATTGCCACCTAATTAATTAATAGTTACTTTTATTTACAGCAATATTTGCCAGGTAGAAGGTCAGGTATGACTGACTGACTGACTTGCTTAGCGCTTCGGACCGACAAAAACGATCCACCTCAAAACCTAAAGATACGAAGTTTTGTATTCTTCTAATCTCTTTAGTTTCTTAGGTTGGCGGTCTAAACAGAGAGGGATAGGGTATATGTTGGAAACTTCAGCCCTCAGAAAGTATATCGACCTAAATTGTCAACGAAATTCAAAAATATGTGCTGTATTCCTTTGTAACGTATTAGCGCGCTCTGTGTCGACTTCCCAGTTAAATATGTCTGTTATTTGTTTATAGTCTATGAAATACTTCTGACTACCCAAATATAGAGTTACTCCTTATTTAATTCAGTGAACTATTAGGCTTATAGCAAAAACCTCACATGCTACTGTCAGATGTACATTGTAAACTCCAGAAAAATGATCAGCGCTCACACGAATAAACATATTTTCATTGACGTCCACATTCAATTTCTGACAGCCCTCGAAAAACAAACGATTCATTTCGAATCTGTCAGAAACTTGCCTATGTTGTTGCTACTTTTCATTCGCTGGGCGAAATCTTAGACAAGACCACTGATCCTTTTTGATGACCTTCACTAGGCCGTTCGGCCTGCGTTTACCCGTATCAGACCTAGACGTACTCAGACTAGCCCAGACAATAGAAGCCTCGCCCTTATTCAATCCGCTTCTCTGACCATTTACTTGCGTGACAGTCCGTGCTAACTCCTACTCATCGGTGATTCGTTTGCTGCCAATCTCTTTATTCCTTTCTTCATCCAAGGAACCAACCCGCTCGCCGGAGCGACAGTTCTGACAGAAAAGCATCTCGGCCTGTGAGGCCTGCTATCCCAAGCCCATTGTCTTTTTTCACGTGGTTTCTACCTTACTTTTTTCTCTCCTTCGTATCGTCCAATGTGTTCCTCATTTCGTTTCCCATTTCTGGAACAGCTCGATTCTCTTTTTTGTGGCACGCGCTATCCTCGCGCGTTCGCTTTCTCTCCGCGTCTCTGTCCGGCATTTTCTTGGACATCTGTTTTTGTGAATACCCTGGCCTGTCTTCGTGGACATGTCCAATAGCTGTTTCCTCTTGGGGCGGAGCTCGATCGATTCAGGAAGCCAATGCATATATATGGGAACACTGTTCACGGCGTTTTCGTATATGTAGATAATTGGTCGTATCACAAGCGCGGAACATCGCAAAATCATTTGGCCTTGTTTAGTGAGAAGCAATCCTGCTTTGTTTGGGGATTTTGACATGCACGTGTTATGCGACCAAGACACGATTTCGAATCTGGCCGCTTACGCTCTTTGCAGGTTGTCGATCTTAAGCTTTAATCTCATCTAGCTATAGCTGTTTCCATCCTTCCGTGAGTCTTCGGTATTTTCTGTGCTTCTGATCAGTGTATGCGTGGTATCATCTATAGATCAGCAGCATCAGCAATCATGACTCAGTGGCTCATTGCTGCCTTTTTTTGATCTTGCCGTTACGACAAGCACTGGTCAACAGTTCTTTTTGGTTCCTTTATTACTGCAGCTATTCGCCGTGTCGATCTGTTGATCTAGTAGTGCTCGTAGTAGTACTACCTCATGGTACATATCTGTGTATGCGACTGCATGATAAAGACCTTGTAGTTATTGAGAATCGCAGAAAAAACGAGCGTACATAGCAGCGAGTACCATTGTGCTCGACTATGATGCACTTACAGCATCCTTCGTATTGGCCTCGTTGAAATCTTAGATGTCAATTCTACAGTATTCGTAAGTTTGTTTACATGGCGCTTTGTAATTTTCTTACGCCCATCTGTTAGGACGACAACCAAAAGCGATGATGCATCTTCCCTTATCTGCGGCCGTCGCATAAGTGGACCTTTTAATAGAGGTTCTTATATTCTGTTACTGCTGTTGCTGTATGCCAATATTGCTAGTGTTGCTCATTGCCACCACAATGAACAATGCTGGTCGACCGGGCCCCATAAACTGTGACCTTTATAATCCACTGTCTGAATAGCGCATTCACGCTTTCTGCTATTCAAGTGAGTGATGATGACTGTCCAGTTGACCCATCCTTCATTTTTCGCAGCTTTTTTCATCCGTTATTAATTCGTCATTACTAGGTTTTCCATCGCGGGTTGATATGGTATTGATTTGTTGTTGCGGTCGCTGTGGCCGGTAGCGATTCCGCCATCTTCTCTCGTTTCCCTAAGGATTCTAACGGTGATTACTGATGCCACGATCACCCCCTCAACAACATTAAGCTGTGACGCCCGTCTCGAGCCGCGTCAGCGAAGGCATTATATTCAGTAGGAAAGTCTACCACCAAGTCAAGATAAATTGTTGAAACGGACGAGAGAAAGATCCAGACAGAGGTAAACCGGCTGACACGCGCCCATTTGGGTAGGGCAATCTAGCTGGGACGACGCCGATGATGATGATGATGATGATTTTGGTTATAGTGCTGGTCGTAACAATGGGCTCGGCCTCACAAGAAAATAGAGCGACAGTAACATGCTACGACCAAGTAGGAATAACGCGGGTCTTGAAATGCAGCAACAAAAGCTCATGCGCTTAGGACTGGCGTGAACACACAAAGAAACGTACAGATCAGGTATGCCTTTAGACATGATGGCGGAGAAAGGTAATGTTATGGATGTGGGGTCCTTAAGTTTGTCTTCTCGGTAAGCCCAAGAACAGGAAGTCATCGCACATGCCATAGCTATTCTCGCACGTATCGTGTGCAGCATATACGAGTCTGTTTTCGCATATTATGTTGTATATTGGTGCACAAAGAAAGCGAGGGTGGTAAGCTATATTTAGCGGAAATGGTTGGAGACATTCGGGTGATTTTGCCAGCTCCAACAGGTTTGTTGATGGCGATGTAGCCTCCTCTATGTCCTTTCTGTTTCTTGGACAATCGAAGATATTGTCATTGGACCGACGGTCATGAAATCGAATTTTTTTGAGGATTATGCCATATTTGCTTGAACGCCCGTCATTCATGTATAGTGAGAATTTATTTGGATGGGAGGTCACTCGGTCTAAACAGGTGCCGCCGCTATTACAGGCTGTGGACCCTGTGTATTCTTTTGCATACAGCCACATCAGTTCTTGTGTTACGATGCAAGACTCGATCGGTTCTAACATAGACGATGGCAAGTGATCGAATATCGCTTTCAGAAGTTTTCGTTGATGCTGAGCGTTGTTGATAAGATAGCTCAAGCCACTTGAGTGTGTGATCTAAAGCTTTGCCAAAAATACAAACAAGCGTACACAGGAAAACTTAGACTGTGTATAGAGATGGTACATTTTCCTTTTTGTTGATTTATATATTGCGCAAAGTCAGGAAAATTTTCATCTGCATATAGCCATCTGTCTATTTCTAGTAGTTGAGTAATACAAGGACGGAGATAGAGACTTATAAATCGCCGAACACAATCAACGTAATGTGCGAATGAAACAGGCTTGCCTCATAAAGCGTTGTATTATCTACAACACCATATGTCCTTTGTTTACATGCCCCTTGATTTAGTGCTATTTCGGTTTGTCTCGTTTTTCTATCACAGCCACTCATATTTGTTTCTATTTGTCCGAACCATTTGATGCTTAAAAGTGGCACAGTTCTTATGATCGAAGAAAGATTTACTTACCTTTTTGGAGACGACCATAGTAGAATAACCCTCGGTGTGTTTATGTTCAATCTAGCTGCGTGTTCCGTCCACCTCCCACTTAGTTAATGCTCATGACAAAGGCGCAATGGGGCAAGCATTGCCAGGTTATCAAGCCATGATATAACGAAGTCTGTTGGCGGCATTCGGCCTTTTGTGGAGCAATTTTTACGCTGTAAATATACAATCGCACATGCTATGTATTCATTAATAAGCTCAAGATACAGCGGCGATTCGGGGAAGTTGAATCGTTCTAAAAGAAAAGAGTTTATCACTGTTAATTTAACACTATGCGATAGAAGCATAGGGATGATACTCGGTCGGCTTAGCTCACTAATGACAATCAGGTACAGGGAAATGGCCCAAAAAGGCTAGAATAATGTGCTTGATGTCTAAAACTTAATGTTTTGTGTTCAGAAGAACGGAAATACGCCGTCCCCGGTCGATTTCTGCAGGAGTGGGGAAGGAGGCTTGGTTAGTTGGCAGGAGCGGGTCGCCAATAATCCCTGGTCATTGACAAGGAAATATTCTGCTCGTAAAAAATTACATAACGACATGGCTAAATGGTTTCTGTGAAATTTCGGTTTTTAAAATCCTATATCATATTTCGTTGAAGTAACAAAAAAATTATGACAAATAACTGATGACTTCCAGTGAAACCAAGCGCATTTAGAATAGCTATCATATAATAAACTGGCTTCCGTCTGTCCTTTATCCTAAATGGTCAGATAAAAAACAGTTAGCAGACAATCAAATAGCCTTTTTTAAGGTAGATAATTTTTTAGCAAGGCGCTTTCTCTACAGGCTTTTGCCTCACCGTCAAGGGTCTTCGGAGGACGAAAACGCACATCCGTCTATCTGTTTCTAAGTACAACGTTTATTTATTATGTTTCTTTTTACTGTTATGTATATATTGAACAATGTATAGCAAGGAACTTTCTCGTTGCTAAGATCACATCGTGGCACTTAACGTAAAAAACAAGTGTTGTTTGGTAAGTCATCAACACAAGCTAGCATTTTCTAGTACCTTTCGTCTCAAAAATAAATTATTTCCGATTAATATTAATTTTTTTACCGATATATAATAGTAGTCGATAATCGACTGGTAGCATGGTTTAAGCAATCCAGTTGATAGAAGAATTAAACACGAAGTAATGAAATCAGTCATTGTTATCGTAGTCGCCTCGGCTCACTAAAAGGCTATGAGTTCCACAAGGATTATCCGCTGAAGTGAAGAGTACTTCTTGGATTCATACGTAACATTCTACTTCCATATACGTCGAAACTTTTCTTCTGAAGATCAAATGCAGTATTTCTTAGCACTGGTCCAATGTTTTCTTCCTTTCTTGTCCCAATGTTAAAAGAAATGTCACTTGTTTCATGCAAATACTCCACGTGATCCTTCTACATATATAAGTTAAGGATACTCACTCAGACGCACAATGTTTTATCAACATTCACATGCCATCATTGAATTTTCGGTCTAGGCTTTTGAAAGCCGAGCCGAAACATATCTTCAAACATTAGGTTCTGACCATCACTGCGACAAAGCCTTTTTTTCCTAGCGCAAAAAAACCTAACTTGTTCTCCTCGAATACATCCGCCTAGCACCAGTACAAGATCTCTGACGTTGTAACGCAATAACATCCCAAAGGCCACAGGTCAAACTAGCAACCTGATACGCATTTGTGAAGACATAATACACGGCCTTCTACGATGTTTCAGTAAATCGTCGTTCAGAGCAGTTTAACATCGGCCTTAACTAAGGATATCATAGCACTAAACGGTAGCAAACGTAAATTGTGGCTCGAAAGAAAAGACGCTATAGACGATATTTGTGTAATAGCTCAAGTGCCTTGTGAGTGGCGCTGTAACACGGAAGAGCCATAATCATAAACATAAAACAATGATCAGTTATCAGCCTCAGAGTCGATGAACGTAGCCTGATCGGTGTTAGATGCTATGGATGCACACCTTTGCGTCTTTATGATACCAACACGTCAGCTTGATCGATCACGGCTGTCGTAAAACGATATGCGGTTTAGATTCAAATGGCTTTGGCAAACGGTGAGAAATGCCTCAAGTGAAAAATAGTGAGGAAGATATATTGGTATACGGCATATTGTACTGTGATGTCCAGTCTGTAAACATTAAAGGTCAACGAAGATTCGCATAGTTATTTTAACTTAGGCATAAAAAAAAACTTTAACGCTCCGCGATAGTTCTGACAACAGTAAAACTATTCCGGATAATCACCTAGTCTCAAGTTCAGTTTTCTCAACGGCTTTCTAAGGTTTAATCAATCTTAAGTTAGTGTTGTCCTCTTCACGTCATATGAGGTTCGACAGTCTCTTAGCTGATTGAGTGCAGAGGTAGTATAGGTTTCGATGACCTCCAGACAATACGGGAACGGCTGGATTCGATCGAACAGACTGTCACCAGCCAGAAAACTAAGCAGTAAGAGGAAACTGCATAGATTCTGTATGGTGTTTTTTCGCCAATACAGGTTCCCTTGTCTCCGTTAACAACAACAAGTGCCTGGCTGCGCGTCGAGCAGTGCCTATACAAGAGACCATAATTAGCTTGTACGCGTACACATATCATGTTTGAAGATAGGCTTGATATAACGGTGATGCAAACTAAACACTTCTACGAACTATTCTATAGTAAAACCTATTTATATATCACAAATAGGTTTTACTAAAATTAACTCATGCCGATACTCCTATGTATTTGAGCTGCCTCAAACATGACTAACAGTTATGTACTATATGTATTGTAATACTGTATTATATATGAAGGTCAGGTAGCCTGAAAGATCAGATGATGTACAGCGATAATTTTTGTACCACCGAAGGGGCATTAATAGTCCCTTAACGGCAACTTTGGTTGCCCCTCGTTACCGTTCACCGTATGTAACCACCCTTGGCAGTTAGTTTCAGTATTCAAAAGATGATAAACACTGCTTCCGATAATTAACCTCGACCGCTATAGTTCCTTTTCACTTTCTTCATCCGTCTCTGTCTACGGTTTTCAGGTGATATGTTCTAATCGTGTTTGCCACATCTTTTCATGCTACTTAGCTCTGGTCGTTGTTTTTTTTTTGTTGATTTTCTAAATAAATCTCCCGCGTCGTTTTCACTCTTATATTTGACCGACTGTTTAGGCTCGTGCATTGCTAAGACCATGGAGAGACGAAACAGCCAGCCAGTCTGTAGAGTCGGATGTTATGGCGCCGCTTTTCGTAGCGCGAAGGTGAGCATGACATTTCCTCCCCAACGGACGCCCCGAAGATCGTGGCACCAGTGTGGTGGTAGTACTGATGTTGCGGCTGATTCGGACAAAACGTGTATAGCAGCTATTAGTAAAGCAGCAGTAGACCGCCTTGGTGCCACTATTAGCCACGGCGTGGCAGCGACGCAATTGATGAGACACAGTACCAAAAACAGAGCACATCAGAAACAAACGGGCAGAGGGCGGGGTAGACTTAGCCGATACAATCACCCCCCAGCGACACAAGCGAACAATACATTCTCATAGGGCAGTAATAACCGCAATAACGCCAGTCAAGGTAGTAACTGTGTTGTATGGAAAGGGTGTACAGATAAATCAGCTATACAGTGGATGGTAAGCGGGGGAGAAATGGCAGACGATGGTAAGTTCCACGATGGTAAGTTGGCAGAGGATGGGAAAACTAAAGGAATTGCTCAGCGATCGTTTAGCAAGCTTCTGCCAATCTCTTGGCAGAAAATGTTCTTACGGTAGATATTAAAGTGCTCGTTGGGTTGGACCCAAATTTAACAGGCGCAATAGCTAACTGACCACGGCGGCTCATGTTCTACGTCTCACACGCGAACAGACGCATTCACTTCGGAGCCGGCAGCAGCTCGTGGCTTCGTTGCTGGACGGACCCTGACCAATGAACGAGCGACAGGTAAAAAGCTTCATTTCAAAGGTTACCACTTTTACCTGCTTTGTAACTCTCCTTGACTTGCTTTCCCTGTTTGATGGTAAAGTCTTGTTTTCCACAGTCGCTCCTTTGCTCACTTTAGAATAGATATTATACTAAATTTTACTGTTGCGGATAACTTCAGCGGCACCTAGTGAAACCTTAGTTAAAAACTCAAAATTAGACCGTGACATTATCGAGGTGACGATGACGCTGATTAACCTAATCATAACTCACTAGCGATTTGGTGACTGGACCGGAAGGTTAAGGGTTCAGATCCAGAATTTGACCCCGGTTGGTAGATGCTGAAAAAGATATTTCGATCTCAAATGCTGCCGACAGCAGACTCAATCAAGCGGTAGCTCATCGTTGACAGACATCCAGCTACAAAGATAAGCCTTCAGGTCTTTTTCTTGAAAAAGGGTGCCTTTCGGTGATGACAAGAATGTGTTATTTAAAGGTGCGATGTCGTTCTGTCTTTCTATCCGACGCTATGCCGCGACAGCACTGGACGTTTTGTAGATACTAGAATCAATAACCCGTCTGTCTCGGCAGCATGAACACAAAGTATGAGAAAAGAGCGCGACTCCCCTGCGCTCAGAAAGCGGAGACAAGACAAAAGAAATAGGTTCTAGAAGGTGACCTACGCAAGTGGTCAGCAAAATTCGCCTGTAAGCCATATGCCTGTTAACATTTCGACTCGTGTACATCTACATACCTTTCTTGTGTTAATAAAATCTCCATTGATTTTTTAGGCACGTGAGTATCGAGCAGAACTCTCGTCTTTGTTGGATTCACATGGAACAGATAACTGTCTTATTTAGGGCAATACTAAACTCTAAATTGAAAATGTATAGCGAACGTAAATGTTATGCCAAAATGGAGCCAGAAAAAGACAGTTGCAGACAATTCTCATAAAAGTAAGACTAGCCACCGAGTACGCAAGCCAATTTTAGGTATATTAAGTAACAGTACAATTTGAAACGATACGATAGGGATAATTGTTTAGATTTGATTGTTCATTAATTCCTGTTCCTGAAAAAGGCTCCAATAAACTTATGCTACGAACTTCCGTATTACGTGGAAATTTTACATGAAAATACGCGCTCGTTGTAGGACATAAATACATAGATACGCAGCAAGAAGGCACCATAGCAACAAGCGGCTGCAGTTTTGCGTTTCTGCTAACGGATTCACTGTTAAGATACTTCCGCAGTTCGTAAC